CGGCACCTTCCACAAAAAAGTGGACTGAAATCACGGGTTTACAAAATTAGTCTGTGTCTTCTGATGTGCATGGAACTATAACGCTATTGTAAATAATGGCTATACTTGTGGCTGGTTCATTTCTTGGGTAGTAGGCTTTGAACCCCGTATTGATGATCTGCCCCTATTGGAACTCGAAAACATATGTTTCCAGCAAGATAGAGCAGCGCCTTAGAATGCTGAAGATAATTACAAGAATAATTGATTAGCTAACCAAGATCCCAGCCGTTGGCCGCCGGACTTAGTACTTATGAATTTTTATCTTTGCAAAAGGATAAAGGTTCTCATTTTTAAATTGCCCGTATAATCTAAACAATAATTAGAAGTATTTAGCAGTTATGCGAGGATATCTTTCACCCCCACTGAGTTAATGAATTCCGCGAGAAATGTTCAAAAACGGTCCCGTCTGTCCGACCAACAGAAGACGGTCGATATGTCGAACAGCTCTAGGAAAATATCATGCCTTGGTTTGCTATTTATTTTCATTGGTATTAGATATAGTTTAAATGTGTTGATGTTGTTAAATAAAGTTTAAATTGTTATAAAATTTTGCATTCCTCGTTGCAAATATTATTTGCGTTTTAACTGCTGCTCACAGCTAAAATTTTTTTGCATTACAGCCGGCGCCGTTCAAAGCCTACTTATTCAAAGTGGGCAAATTTTTATAAAGTCTATATCTGGAAGAGGAATCAAGCAAAATATCAAGTGTGCTATATTTTTGGAAATGTAATTTTAAATTCTTTTCAATGAATTAAAAATATACAGGGCGTCGCATATAAAAAATCAAATTTTCTGTTGATAATTCTAATATTATTAATTTTAAAAAAATTATACTTAAACCATTAAATTCTACGTAAAAAGGTGCTTTGGAAATATTTCCATAAATTTTTTTTATAGAAAAAAGTTACAGCGATTTGTTGAAAATGCACATTTTTGAAAAACACCAGTAACTCCGAAACGGTAACAGATATCGAGGTGCGGTTTTCACCATCATATTTTTGATGAAAATTGAGACACCGATATTAGTTTTCATCTATCTCCTATAGAAAAGGGTGTTTCCATTTAAAAGCGTCCAATTTGACCCACCCTATACAATCTAAACAGAAGCTAACTTGTCAGTGGGTTTTACACGTAAAGCAAATTTGCCCAACAAACAAAAAATGCCCATCTCTCCATATCATCAGAAGAAATAATACAATAAATAAAGGATAAAAAGACTTCTGTTTGAGAATGGTGAAATATCCGGGCTTTTTTCAAGATGATTATTAACAAATTCACGAAGAAAATTAAGTGTTAAAATAGCAGAAGAATGAATTCAAAGAAAATACATTTACCAAAATATTTTCTTAGAATAGGCACAGTAATAGCATTTCAGTTGTTTCCAAAACTGGCTAGTAATTATATCTGATTCAGACCATATCTGATTCAGAGGTCATTTTAGATTGAACAATAAGAGAAGATTAAATGAATAAAGATATCAGTCTATTTGCACATAGGAGACAACAGAAAGTCAGAAATTCACTCTATTTTATTTTGATTTCAAATTGTTATTGCAGACACAATAATTATATTTTGTTTACATAGAAAACTTGAAATACTAGAACAGTTCAAAATAGTAACTTTTCTACCGATTATACACCATAAATCCCCAAATTACCAGTTAATTCACGCTATCGAAAAATCGTAATATGATGACGAAATATTGCAGAAAGAGATTTTTGCGTTATCATTTTTAGTTGTAATTTTGATAAAATGTGTCGCTTTATTTACTTTTTATTTTTACATAAATATATACCGAGTGCATCTCAAAAGTGGCTCACCCCTATACCTTTTTTATTTTTTCATTAAATATATAAAGAAAAAAAAACGATATTTGGTATGTTAGTCTCTCTTCTCTTTCTCAGCCTGGTTCCATCCAGTGTTGGATATAGGCCTCTTCTAGGTTTTTCCAAGCTTCGCGATCTCTAGCCAATCTTATCCATTGTCTTCCCGCCACTGCCCTGACGTCATCGACCCATCTCTTTTTCGGTCGGCCCACACTTCTTGTTGTTCCCCTAGGTCTCCATAGGATTACTTTTTGGGGCCATCGGTCTGGATCCTGTCTTGCCACATGTCCTATCCATTGCCACTTCAGACTTGCCACTCTTTTAACGACATCTATTAATTTTGTTTTTTGACGTATGTGGGTATTCCGTATTTTTTTCTCTAATATTGACTCCCAACATGATTCTTTCCATGGCTCTTTGTGCTACTCGTATTTGTTCTGCTGTTTTTCGAGTAATTGACATAGTCTCTAAGCCATACGTAAGCACAGGTAGAATGCAGCTGTCGTAAGCTTTTTTCTTTAGGTTCATGGGCACCTTTTTATCCTTGAAAATATTGCTCATATTTCCAAATGCTACCCATGCCAAATGGATCCTGCGTTTGATCTCCGTATTTTGGTTTTCCTTGCCCAGCTTGATTTTATGACCTAAATATATATATAATGGTCTACGTTTTCAATAATAACGTTGTCAACGGTAATGTTATGGATATTGTTGCTCATTATCTTGGTCTTTTTCAAATTCATTTTAAAGCCAATTTTCTGGGATTTCATTTAGCTCATTTAGCATGGTGTTTAGTTCTTGAATGTCGGTGCTCAGCAAGACAATATCGTCTGCGAACCTCAGATGGCTAAGGTGTACCCCATCGATGTTTAGACCTCTATTTTCCCATTCTAATTTCTTGAAGACATTTTCCAGTGCCAGTGTAAATAACTTGGGAGAGATGGTATCTCCTTGTCTCACGCCTTTTATGGGCATACTAACATGGTATGTTAGTATATGACATAAATTAGAATTGATTGACGTATTCAATTGTTTCAGTCACTTCTTGTTTCACCGGAAATGACTACAACCTTGGATTTTTAAATGGCACTCTCGGTATTTTTTTACTTTATTCGATAGAAAATGACACTCTGAATCGAATGACATATTTTGACATATTTGCTCAAAAACAAATTGAATTTTAAATTTCAATGTATTAAAGACACTAATTTTTAATCAAGGAGCCTTGGAAAAATAGATTTGATCGTCTAATGTTTTTAGTGTCTTGTCCTGGCCGGTTAAAAGATGCCTAAATCTTATTTTTAATAATATCTCATTTTTTTCAAATGGAACGAGGGTGGCTCATTAGCATATTTGGAAACAAAACATCTTTTTACAAATAATTTGATACCACACACTTGGTATTACGAGTCAAATTGTCGTTATGAACCGCATGTTACAATTTCAAATAATCCATATGCAAAAATGTCAAAAGTTGACATATGATATGTCATTCTATTCAGAGTATCATTTTCTATCAAATAAAGCAAAAAAATACCAAAGGTGCCATTTAAAAATAAAAAGTTGTAGTCATTTCCGGTAAAACCGGAATTGACCGAAAACAATTGAATATGTCAATCAATCCTAATTTATGTCATATACTAACATACCAAATCTCGTTGTTTTATCTAATAAAATAAAAAAGTTATAGAGGTGAGCCACTTTTCAGACGCATTCGGTATATATAGAGACAAATATAGCAGCTTAATAGAAACATACATATTTGAACCGATCTGTTCCAAATTTTGTTAAGATCGTACTTTTTCACAAAAAAATATTTATTAATTTAAAATTACTTATTGAATTATTATTTGATACATTTAAATAAAAACTAACAGGTAAATCTACTTTATTAATAATGATAATACTGACCTAAATTAAGAAATATAGATAATTAACAGTAAAATGTAGTTGCGCTATCTCAATCTAGCACTTGACTTCCGACACATATATCTGCGTAATTAACTAAAATTCTAATTATTATTATTCCATATTTATATAACAAATCATTATATTATCGATTTTACCATCACATACCACATGTTCTTAAATAAGTTTTTTCAAAAGCGCAGAATTGCATATGTGGTGCATTTTATTATCTTACTTATTATTTCCAACTATTAAAGTTTTATGTGAAATATTTTACAACTAAGCAAATAGGGCACAAATTTAGATCAATGTGCAATGGTAAATACCATTTCAATGCAAAGATTGGTACAACAAAAATATTTGTTTACATTTAAAAAAATGAAACTCTTGAATATTGTTGCAGACAATTGTTTCCAATGAGTAGGTACAGCCGGATTTGTTGATTTCACGTTTCATTATTTTGATTTTTTTTATTCCTCATTATTTTGCCATATACGATTTATTTAATATTTTTTACAACTCATTCTTCTGTTATTCAGAAATTAGTTAACTACAGGGTGGTCCGAACTGTATTCCGGAAACTTTGGCGGCATATTTTACAGAAAAAAAAAATGTAAAAAAGTTCTTATAAATCTATATCCTAAAATGCTTAGTTTCGGAGATATAGGGTGTAAAAGTTTCATTTTTATTTCGATTTTTTCCAAATAAATTTCTGAAATAACGTCAATATTTGGATGAAAATTGGTATCTATGAGTTTTTTGACATGAGAAATTTGATTTTGATGTCAATATGCCTCCTACTTGTAAACTTCTACACCCTGTATCTCTGAAACTAAGCATTTTAGGACATACATTTATACGAACTTTTTTACATATTTTTATCTGCAGAATGTGCTACCGAAGTTTCCGGAATACAATTCGGACCCCCCTGTATATCAATAATTTAAACATGTTATCGTGGAGACTATAATAAAAAAGAAGAAATAATTTATTGGGCACAGTAAGATTAGCTATGTTTTAGTCATGTTTCATGGCTAATCTTACTGTAGACTTGCCCAATAAATTCTTTCTTCTTTTTTATCAATAATTTATATATGAAACCATAGTATGAAACTTTTTGTTACAATACAATTAATAGATTTGCAGTTCTTCAGGTACTCGGATAGTTTTAATGGTCTGAAATATTTTTTGATACATGGCATTTTTAAAGTATTTTTATCTTTTCAGGACCACATTCACGAAGTATTAAGCAAATGGAACCAGATTGATGACGAGATATGGGCCAAAGTAATTATTCTAGAGAAAAACCGAAGAGTTGCAAAAGCATATGCCAGAGCTCCAGTGCTTACCATTAACGGTTCAGATTCTGGATTTGATGGTTTTAGGTATGACAATAATTAATTCCTTGAAAAAATACTCAATTTTCTAAAACGCTGTAAAATCCAATACTACAATCTGTGAATGATTTTTCCAAACTACAAATTATTTAATTCTGCTTAAGGTCAAAGAATATAATAACATTTTAGTTTTCTAGGTATAATAACGAACTATTTATGAATGCTTAGTATAAATATTATGCCTTAAAGTTGCTTTTAATGAAAAATTGGGGTATTTCTATTTGAAAATATTTTTAAACAAGAAATCTCACTGTACCTAATATACTGATGTCCAATAAAATTCCAATCTAGATATTGTTTTCTAGTCTTTGTCTCTCTATATTTATATTTTTAGAGACTTCTAATATAAGAGCAGTCGGGACTAGGGAATGCAATCCCGCAAATGCGGGATCCCTATGAGATTCCGCGGGATCAAAGTTGCGGGATTTACTGTGCGGGATCTGCGGGATCGACACATTACTACTAGGTAACTGAATCGATCTCGATTAAGATCAAACCGCTTCGTTCCGGGCCATAGATTTAGGAAGAACAGATATCACATTATGCATTTTAACCCGATCAAACATTCGGAGGTTGACTACGTACTGTAAAAACCAACTGAGATAGAGAAGGCGACATTGCCACATCTCAAATTTTCTCCTATCTACTTAGTTTGATTTGCAGAAAAGGTGACTTTAAAACCTTCACCGGATATCAATAAATCTCAATTTCTTAATTCAATTAATAGCTTATTTTTAAAGAAGCATGCGTAATAATATGTTATTAACCAGAGGATATATGCGTTACTATTAAAGGACATGTTTACTGTTTAATGTGCTGAAACGTCTAGAACTATTGGCAACGTCGCTGCTAGTCTTCCAGAATGAAATGAGCCGTCCGTCCCACCACCTCTCGCGACGGCCCTTGGTCCGTTATAGCGTACTACGTTTAGCTTACGGTGTGTTTGAAGTCGGAATCAAGTCCGAAGTGAACTTTTCAGTGTTTTTCAGTAGTTTTTGCTTTTGTTTAACGTACTTTTGAATCTGCGAATTTTCAATATGGTACGACAGTGTCAAATGTGTGGAAAAATAAGCTCAAATTACCCGAATTTGTCTTTTCACAGGTAGGTATTGTTTCCGCCGCGCCGTAATCGCCGTACATAGGCGTCCCACAAGGGAGCCTCTCACAATTGAAATAATTTCTAATTATATTTGTTGAATTTTGAGCTATTAAAACAAGAACGTAGTAGCCGGTAATTGAATTATAATTCGTCTCAATTACTACTTAACTGTTGTAGATCATAACAAATTTGAATATAAACGTTGCATTTGAAACTCTATTATAAGCCAGAAAGTGACATTTTTTTTTCTTAAAATTGCGTCATATTTTGGTCATTATATACGATATTCTAAAGGAATATTGCTCAACAAATAAACAAAGGTGTTTACCCGCCCTTTTTCACATTTTATTGCATTATTATATCTGCCCCTTCGGCCTCGTTTAAACAATTTTTTACCACCGTACCTCTTCCTAGAGTTATTTGTACGGTGTGTTTACCTTTTTTTAGAATGGGACGAACTGTAAATAATTCTTAGGCTACTAGTTTTATACATATCTATATACAGAGTGACCCAGTCCTCCAAAAAAGCTTTTTACCTATTACGTTTTTGGTTTGTAATTTTTATTTCAATTTTTTACATAAGACGGGGGCCATTGTAACGCTCATTTTCAAAATATTTTTGTCAACATACAGGGTGATTCAAACCGCTATACATATGCTTAATACAGTTCATGAAGATTGGGACATTTAACTAAAATTTGATTGTCTGATGAAGTTACCTTTAAAAGTAATCGATTTGTAAATAAACGTAATATTCATTATTATGCGACAGAAATCCCATACTGTAGCACACAGATTTGATACTTTTAATGATAAATGCCTTCTATTGAGAGACTAAAAGGTAATTGTCTCGTATCAGAGCCATCATAATACAAGAAGAAGACCGAAAGTCAAATCTTGTCTTATATTTTCAAAAAAATACAATTTTCTCATTAAATATTGATTTTAGGTATAGGAAGTTATTAATAATACAAGATTAAACAACTATTACTCAGTACTTTACAGGAAGCTCTCGATTGCGAACTAACTAAATCGTTACTAATTACTAATTTTAAAAAGTTCTTTTTAAGATCAAAAAAGGTAAAACTAAAACCTAAATTATCATTTGAGATTAAACGGGAAGTTCTAAATAATGTTGCCTATTCTAAACAAGAAAAATGTATTTATAAGTTAAGTTTTATAACATTCCTAATTAAATTTGGGCGAAAAGGATATTTCTGTTTGCTGTAGGTAATTTTCTCAGGGAAAATACGTAAATAAAAATGACTTTTTAAGTCAAAAAAAATCAAAAGGACAAGTTATTCTAAAAAAGGACTGTCCTTTTCAAAAAAGGACAAGTGGCAACCCTAGGTATTTCTGGAATGGAAATTTAATGGCAAATCTACAACTTTGGTTTGAAAATATGTTCCGGCCACCTATGTTTACAAAAATGTCTAAAATGTGCTTAAATGCCTCCATATTCTGAAAAAAAAATTGAAAGAAAAGTCACCAACCACAAACCTAATATAGAACTATTTCGGAAGCCTGAGTCACCCTGTAAATATTCAAAAGTAACTGAAAGTTTATATAAGAGTAACTGAAAGTTTAAATTGAAAATTGACGTTGGAGCGATTTTCGAAAACTACTAACGTTTCAACATAAGTATATGTGGGATATTAATTGTATTATTATATTAGACCTTATAACAAAACTCATCTGACGAAAAAGTGTTAATGTAGTATATTAATATGGAGTAAAAATTTTACTAATTACTTTATTTTTACTTTACTAATTCGTTCCAAAAAACGATACGCCACTGGCCATTAGAACAACCCAAATGCGCCTAGTTGCCGGGGTCGGAAATTTTAGACTTCTCTGTCTCTTCTGTCCTTGTTTGACACATTGGAATGTTTGATACACTACCAACGAGTATTTATGAATGAGATGTTCGGTCTATATTTATAATGTCTTTGTTCCGGGCCGATGCGTCGACGCTCGGAACCCAGGGGTTCCCCTTACGGCTTGGCCATTAAAAATAAATGAAACATACAGGCTAGTTGTCAGATTTCTTTCGGGCGTATGTGCGTAAGTGAAGAAAAGCTTTTAACTAGTACTTATGGACAATTTCGTCAAATAAATTGCCGGACATAATTATTGGGACTAGCAAAATTTTAGGGTAAATTTAAAGTTGACTATCTCTTGAACTAAAAAAGATTTTCGAATGCGGTTTGGACCATGTTTTAGATGAATCTATTGTGATTAAGATGCTGATGTGGTTTTCGAAAATATATTTAGCGAATTCTCGTATACAGGGTGTTTTATAAGAGTGTGAAAATTTGATCAAGAATCTTTTTTACCGCAAATTTACAATTTTTAAAAAATCGAAATTTTTACCAAGTACGACGAATCTGTATTGAAATTAGAAAAAAAAACAATTTGATCGGTTTTTAATTTTTTTTTTGTTTTAAGGAAAATACCACGTTTTTTCGATAAATATGCATTTTTAGTCATACGTATGGCCCTAAATGGTACAAAAAGCTTTGTACATAATGCATATGCCAAAAAATTATTGATATAGAATGTATCTAAAAGCAGATATCTAACACAAGTTAAAAAAAACTTCAATCAGAATAATATTTTTATTTATAAAATAAGTAGATAAATTATAATAAAATATAAGTTTATTTAATATTAAATATACTTTTTGAACACCCTGTATACATCGGTGTCTAAATTTCTGTACAGCTAGTTTAAGATACACGCTATATCAATATATTGTGGGCCTATGCAAAATGTACAATGCCTTTTGTACTATTTAGGACCAAATGTATGACTATTGTTTACAGTCCCGCAATTTTGCGGATCCGCGGGATTGATTGCTTTAATCCCGCGGGTTTGCGGGATTGATATTTTGGTGCGGGATTGATATTTTGGTGCGGGATTGCATTCCCTAGTCGGGACATCCTGTATATACACAATTGATTGTAAACATATTTAGATTTAACAAGTATACAGGGTGGTGAGAACTGTATTCCGAAAAGCATATTCTGCAAATAAAAATAAGTAAAAAATGTGTATAAATGTATGTTCTAAAATGCTTAGTTTCGGAGATACAGGGTGTAGAAGTTTCATTTTTATTTTTATTTTTCCAATTAATTTATGAAGTAACATCAATATCTGGATGAAAATTGGTGTGTGGGAGTTTTTTGAATGAGAGATTCAATATGACTCATTCTTGTAGAGGGCGCCACCTTCATATTTTAACTGGTTTGAAGAGTAATAACTTTTTGTCCATACCTGTATAAAACTACTGAGTAAAGAAAATATACATTTACGACGTTTTTAACATTAAAAAGATCTCTTGGTAAAAATCGCTACGAGTAATGGTTCTCGAGATATTTCGAAATTATCAATACCTGTCATCATTGACATAAATTAAACATGTCGACTAAATAGTTATTAGAATGAAATCATAAATTTGAAATGTTTTTACCAAAAGTTCAACGGAAACTGTTTTATCATAATTTTTTTCGCAGAAAAATTTATGATTAATTAAAAAAAGAAATAAAAAATTCCCAAATTTGCTATTTCAGTCAAATATAGCTCAACGTGTTTATTTTTTGTCAATAATGACATTTATTGACTATTTCCGTTCTAAATATCTTGAGAACGGTTGCGCGTAGCGATTTTTACTAAGAGACATTTTTTTACGTAAAAAGTCACGGAAATGTATATTTTTTCACGCAGTAATTTTATACAGGTACGGACGAAAAGTTATTACACTTCAAAACAGTTAAAACACATGTAGGGGGTGCCCCCTATAAATATGACTCATGTTAACATCAAAATCAAATTTCTCATCTCAAAAAACTCCAAGACGCCAATTTTCATCCAAATATTGACGTTGCTTCAGAAATTTTTTGGAAAAAATCGAAATAATAATGAATGACATCTACACCCTGTATCTTCGAAACTTCGCATTTTATGACATACATTTATACGAACTTTTTGACTTATTTTTATCTGCCGAATATGCTGCTGAAGTTTCCGAAATGCATTTCGGACACTCTGTATGTTAATTGCCTCTGAGTCAAGTCATTAATTTTCATTAAAAATATTTAATAAAGATCAAAGAAAATTTAAACTATTTAATTAATGCACACAATTGTTTTCAGGATTGGGTTATCGGGATTTCAGAATCCATTAAGAGACAAGAAGACAGAAGAATGTCGACGTCACATCGGCAATGTAAGTAATATACAAGGATGTATTACGATTTACCTTTTACATAATGGGTGTGAAATCATTATTTCTAACACTTGATATGTAAAGTAACGATTTAAATTCCTATGGAAAAACAAGGTGCCAAGTAAAAGTTGTAAGATGACAAGCACTTGTTGCTTTGCAACTTTTACTTTAACATCTTTACTGTAATAAAAATACAATAATAAGCATTTTTGTTACAGTTAAATAACACACATCAATGCAATTGAAATTTTCAGAAATTTCAAAAACATTTGCCAATAATTAGTTTTTCAATTAACTTTTAATTTTTATATAACACCAACTTTTTTAATGACAACTGATGATGTGTAGACGTAACTATGTTGTCGCTTGATTTGGGAACATTTAACAAATTATTATTGCTATAAATTTACGACTATTTTCGAAACAATAGTACATAATATTATATCATTCAAAATTATATGTGGGATGATACCGTGTTTATTTAACATATCTGAAACATTTTCTTGCAAAGACTATTAAATAAACAATGGCTAATGTTTACGTAAATGGCAAAATTATACAAATTCACCGAATTAATATTTAAATTTAAATGATGTGGCCTTTCCATTTTTTTAATAAATATTAAAATTAAGGTGGATAAGAGAGTGACAAATAATCGAATATTGTTGAACAAATAGAAAATTGTTTCAGGGAGTGAAAATCAAAATGGACGAATCAGGAAACATTCTGATTAAGAGACTATCTCGATCGAATGTTTTTATTAAGAGAACCACTCTTGATGATGAATGTGCCATATCAAATGAAATTTTGAAACTTTCTCATGGAGCTCTTGAAGTCAATAAGGCCTTTAAATTGTTTGATATGAAAAAATTTCAGGTAAGATATTATACAGGGTGTCCCAGAAATAAGTGTAAATATTTTAAGGGGTGGTAGATCTGATCAAAAGAAACATTTTTTCTCTTAACCATTTTTCACATAAGTCCAAAATAACCGAGTTATTTTATTTTGAAATTTTAAACAAAAAATGCTTTTTTGCTTAAATTTTGAGAACCACTGGATGTTTTCTAGATTTTCTTTCATGTTTATGTTTTTTTTGTTTCATGTAATTTAATCTACTACCTATGTTACCATATTATCAAGAAATTACGTTTTTTAACTTAAAACAAAAAATTTCCAAATTTTTTTTTCAAAAAATTCCAAATTTTCAATTTTTTTTTCGCAAAAAAACCTCATAGGCGTGTTTCTGACACCTTGTATAAACCCTAGATCATATACAGGGTGTCCCAGAAATAAGTGCAAGTATTTTAAGAGGTGATAGATCTCGCTAAAAGAAACATATTTTCTCTTTATCGTTTCTCAAAAAAGTCCAAAATAATGGAGTTATTTTACTTTAAAATTTCCAAAAAAATGATTTTTTGCTAAAATTTTGAGAACCACTGGATTTTTCTGGATTTTATTTCTTGTAAATTTAATCTAATACCTATGTTGCCATATTATCAAGAAATTATGGTTTTAAATTAAAAACTAAAAACATTTCCAAAAAAATTAAAAAAAAAATCGAATTTTCAAAAAAAAACTTTCGCGACTAAAACCTCGTACGCGTGGTTGAACTATACTACCAGTTAAAATACTTGCACTTATTTCTGGGACACCCTGTATACTTACGAGGATACGTAAATAAATATGGAAATTGTTGCGAACATCATATCAACGACTTGGTTGGAAATGGTTAACCTTGTTTATGCTTTTAGTGTATAATATAATGTAACTATATGAATTTAACTTGATTCTTAGGTTAATGTAGCTAATGAATTAAAAAGGTCGTATCCAAATAGAAGACGCTTAGAGAACCAATGTCTGAGCTCCATAGTTTTTGTAAAAAATGAATCCGAACAACTGAAGTGCCCGATCTGGATGTTAGTAATAAATATGGTAGCCATAGAAATGCTTAAATCTCAAATACCTATAGGTAAGTTAATATATAGTTCATATCAAATAAACTTTTAGTCGCGTGGTTAAGCTTGACCGGCACAGCGTTGCCCACTTTTACATATTTTCTTTTACTCAAAATATTTTAGGAAACAAAAATAAATTAATTATAAATATATAAAAAGTTATTATTTATAATTAATTTATTTTTGTTTCCTAAAAACAAAATTCCTTAACAGCACTTAGCGGTCATAAAGAGACATTACTACCGCTTTTCCGTTCAAAATATTCTAATAAAGTTGCGATGAGTTTTTCCGGCTATTAAGCTCTCTAAACTTTGCACTAAAAGAGGTTCTAAAAAGAACAATATTTGACTGCAAGGTCTCATAATAAAAATGTTTAAGCTTAAAATAACAAAATTCATTTAAACCAAAAACTCGTAATGCAAAACTAAAGCGTCAAACGAATGACAATGTCAGAAAGTAAATAAATAAATGTGTCAACTTGTCAATTTCTACAACAGAGCTACCACCTGAATCCCCAGCGTGATATTTAAATCCCAGTTAGTCAGCCCGGCGACGAATATGTTGCCATGGTTGGCAACAACGAATTTAAAAATCGCGCCCTCGATTACGTAACTAATAGTTTAATTGGTATCAAATATAAATCTTCAGTTTAGCTTTGTTATAAGTTAAAGAGTAAGAAAAAAAAACAAAAAAAAAATAAAGAAAAACTATTTTAAATGACTAAATCTAACAAAATAATAATAAACATGAAAATAATGAAAACTATTTTCAGACGTAGTGACCAGTATAAATACCAGACATCCGTTGCCTATTCCACAAGAAGAGGAGACATATTCTACTTGCGGTAACGCAAAAATGGGACCCACTAGTTCGAGAAATAGTTCGGATAATTTTAGAGATTCAAGTAGTAATATTAGTAGTTTAGAAAATGCTGGTGTGTATAACAAATCTGATATTCCACCTCAATTACCGCCTAGAAAACAAATGGAGTCTTGTAGTATGGTACAAGTAAGTCAATCTATTCCAAATAAAATAATAATAGTTTTATTTATCTAAACAAGTCAGATTCTGAGCTCCATTGAAGTTCCGTTTAAAAAAAAACTATTGAAATTAGTGCTCCATGTAATAGCACTGGCGCGGCAGGTGAAACGCGGATTCTCAGAGCGAAGATGACCAGCTGGTATTGAACATGCTGTGGTATTCACCATGCATTTTTGTTTGAGTTCTTTGTTCTACAAAGTGTTATCACACACGGCATCAAATGTCGTGATTTCTATAACACTATATATTTATATACCGGGTGCATCTCAAAAGTGGCTCACCCCTATAACTTGTTTATTTTTTGAGATAAAACAACGAGATTTGGTACGTTTATATAAGACATAAATTAGGATTGATTGACAGATTCAATTGTTTTCGGTCACTTCCGGTTTCGCCGGAAATGACTACAACTTTTGATTTTTTAAATGGCACCCTCGAAATTTTTTTATTTTATTCGATAGAAAATGACACTCTGCCTATGCAGAGTGTCATATACATGACATATCATATGTCAACTTTTGACATTTTCGCATATGGTTTATTTGAAATTCTAACATGCGGTTCATAACGACAATGTGACTCGAAATACCAAGTGTGTGGTATCAAATTATTCGTAAAAAAATGCTTTTTCCAAATATATATTTGAAAAAATTAAGATATGATTAAAAATACGATTTGGGCATCTTTTAACCGACCAGGACAAGACACTAAAAACATTAGATGATCAAATCTATTTTTCCAAGGCTCCTTGATTGAAAATTAGTGTTTTTAATACAGCCATGACACTCTTGATTGAAATTTAAAATACAATTTGTTTTTGAGCGAATATGTCAAAAGTTGACATATGCCATGTCATTAGATTCAGAGTGTCATTTTCTATCGAATAAAGTAAAAAAAATACCGGGGATGCCATTTAAAAATCAAAAGTTGTAGCCATTTCCGGTAAAACAGGAAGTGACCAAAAACAATTGAATACGTCAATCAATCCTAATTTATGTCATAAACAACCATACCAAATCTCGTTTTTTTATCTGTAAAAATAAAAAAGTTATAGGGGTAAGCCACTTTTGAGACGCACCCGGTATATTATATTATACAAGGTGTCCCAGAAATAAGTGCAAGTATTTTAACTGGTAGTATAGTTCAACCCCAGAAAAACACCTATGAAGATTTTTTCACGAAAAAAAATTTTTGGAAAAATTTTTTGGATTTTTTTTTTAGTTTTTAGTTAAAAAACATAATTTTTTGATAATATGGCAACATAGGTAATAGAATAAATTTACAAGAAAGAAAATCCAGAAAAGATCCAGTAGTTCTCAAAATTAGAGCAAAAAATCAATTTTTTTTTGGAAATTTTCAAAATAAAATAACTCCGTTGATTTGGACTTATTTGAAAAACGATAAAGATAAAATAGTATGTTTCTTTTATCGAGATCTACCTCCCCTTAAAATACTTGAACTTATTTCTGGGACACCCTGTATATACATATAACTCTATTAACTTACATCACCTTTTTTCAATTCTATATCAAAAATTGCACAAATATTGATAATATATTTAGTTAAAATAAATCATATTTAATAATCTGTAAAACCCGTACAGGGTATCCCATTTTTGGGTATTTTATGGGGGTAGAGTAAAAATATTTGAACAAAATTCAGATACAAAAAAATATAAATTCTGTTACTAAATTATTTAAATTGTATTCTTCTAGCGAGATTACCATCAGGAACTGAAAGCAGTATCTAGCTCAATAAAGAGAATACCATCTAAGAAAAATAAAGATAAAGATATAAAAAGAAATAGGAAAAAAATGGGTAAGTTCTAAATAACTAAACACTGAATTATGAATGCACTATTATAGTTAACAATAAATTTATACTAGTATTTTTATATTTTGTGACCTTAAGTTAAACAATTTGATATTGTTTATTTCGCTATAGGCCAATAAAATACTTAGAACTCCTTAGCTCTGTATTTCGTCAATATTATATGAATCTTTATGAGGACTCTATTTTTTTAATAAAATAATTATAAGTATAAAATATTCCGCAATTAAAACTTTTAATAAATTTAAAATATCTACTTCTCAGTGCATTATAAATTGTGTACTATAAATTTATTTCTGTTCCAGATGATCCATATTATTGCGGTTTTCGAGCACGGATACCCAACTTTGTAGCTAAGTTAACAGGCAAAAATAATACAGGGCATCATAAACAACAAAATCCGAAAAGCCACGACCCCAATTGTAGGCACTATCAGTCTAAAAACCAACAGATTTATGGTTATTTACCGTCAGCCATAGAACAGCATGTGAGGAAAGTATCAAACATTAAACACCCAAATATGAAGCCAAGTTCTTTATGGCATGCTAAAAGTTTGGATAGCGGTCTAGGTACGTAGTAATGGATGAGAAATAAGAAATAAACTTAAAATAATTGACATCACTGCTTTAAAAAAATTAGAAATAAATAGGTATATTCTTTAATGAAAATCAGATAAAAATTTCTAATTTTTTTTCGGGAAAAAATCCTCATAGACGTGTTTCTGGGGTCGAATACTACCCCTAAAAATATGTGCACTTATTTAAGACTCATCTTGTATAATGATATAATGATTACTCAAAAGCACATATTTTTTAACGCTGACTACGTTTTTACTAATTACTTATATGTCTATTCTGACTTTATGTGTCATTTCCAGATACAGCTGCTTCTTCCCAATCTCCGTATAATAACTACACAATGTTCTACAGATTTCAAGCGCAACCATCAAGAGGATATATACCAGTACCTCCAGGAACTGTATATATTGGAGAATGGGATTAGTCTACTTACAGATTTGGTACAGAAAATATTCACGAAGAAGCCGGTCCTACTAGATGCTACCAACGTTGGTTCCAACAATGTAACCAACATTTGACACAGGTTTCGACAATATTGCAATTGACAAGTGTGTCTCCTACATGATGTGGCAAATGTTCATACAATGTCTAACGTTGGAAGGTGTTTACCACATCGTGTGGGACCGGCTTTAATCAGGTGTTATAAATGTAGCTGAACAGTCAAATGTTGATATTTTTATAAAAAAAAATATCAAATAAGCACTATATATGAAAATCCAAAAATTTATCTCGTTTCTCTCTAAAGTTTATGGAGAAAATTATCCCAAGAAAAAAAATATTTTTAGAACGTATGTTGAATGTATGATTTTCTGCCAAAAAACTATATAAATAAATAAAAATCAAATTAAATAAATGTATTACAAAATTATAACTCTTAAGTATTAACTCTTGAATTATTTATTTTAACAATAATTGCCATTCGATGAATCTCCAGGGTTATATACTCTACCTAAAATGTTTTTAATAAGTTGTGACACTATTACTATTTCTTTACTATACAAGAATGGTTTAATAAATACTGTGATCGAGAAAAAACAGTGGCAAATTGTCTTGAAAATGACGATCGATGACATTTCCTATGTAAGTATATAGTAGATATTGATCGCCATTTCAGAGCCTGCTGTGATACCATTTTTGATTCGATCTTATGACTAGTGATGGGAAAAACCGATTAATTTTAATAATCGAGTACTCGAGTATCAAGCGATTGCAATAACCGAGTGATCACTCGAGCGAAATATCACTCGTATTTAAAAATACGGTTTTTTGTCCGTCGCATGTTGTAAGTCAAATACGTTTAAATAAAATATACGACGGCCTCCCCATAAGAGCAATGAGAGGATTTACGTCCCAGTATTGAAGAAGGACAGAAAATCGAGTCGAATGGTTTCAAGACATAGGCTCATCCTTGTTTAGTCAAACCTCCTACAAACCAAGGATAGACTTATGTAGGAAATGCATTGAAATTCTATAGCCATCCTTCAATATCGGGACAGGAATTTAAGCGGTACCCTCCGTATACTTTATTTTAAACGTATTTGTTGTAAGTAGTAAGTACTCGTTAACGCCAAGCGCCAAGCAGTAAGCTGCGTGCGCAAGGCACATATTCTTTCGGTAATGAACGGCAAGTAGTAAGCGGCGAGCCATTCGCGTGATCGCCTGATTTAGTTTATTTCGAAGCATTGTCGATGTAGGTCGTAAAATTTTGTCTCTCAGATACGCAACGGATAAATATACCGGATGCGTCTCAAAAGTGGATCATCCCTATAACTTTTTATTTTTTCAGATAAAACAACGAGATTTGGTATGTTAGTATACGACATAAATTAGAATTGATTGACATATTCAATCGTTTTCGGTCACTTCCGGTTTCACCGGAAATGACTGCAACTTTTGATTTTTAAATCGCACTCTCGGTATATACTATATCACATGTCAACTTTTGACATTCTCGCATATGGTTTATTTGAAATTGTAACATGCGGTTCATAACGATAAATTTGACTCGAAGTACCAAGTGTGTGGTATCAAATTATTCGTAAAAAAATTATTTTTCGAAATATGCTAATCATCCACCCTCGTTCCATTTGAAAAAAATTGTGATATGATCAAAAATACGATTTGAGCATATTTTAACCGGCCAGGGCAAGACACTAAAAACATTAGACGATCAAATCTATTTTTCCAAGGCTCCTTGATTAAAAATTAGTGTTTTTAACACAGCCATGGCACTCTAGATTGAAATTTAAAATACAATTTGTTTTTAAGCGAATATGTCAAAAGTTGACATATGATACGTCATTCTATTTAGAATGTCATTTTCTATCGAATAAAGTAAAAAAATACCGAGGATGCCATTTAAAAATCAAAAAGTGTAGTCATTTCCGGTGAAACAGGAAATGACAGAAAACAATTGAATACGTCAATCAATCCTAATTTATGTCATATACTAACATACCAAATCTAATTTTTTTTACCAAAAAAAAAATAAAAAAGTAATAGGGGTGAGCCACTTTTGAGACGCACCCGGTATATACGGCGTCGTATAAATTTGCTACCTGCAATGTATGTAGAAAATTCGCTCGGCTTTTTATCGAGTAGGTCAGATTAAAATCGGATTTCAATTTATTTCATTCTAGGATCGCTTGCGTTCGTCGCTTGGTACTCGTCACTTGCATCGCTCGTTCATAATCGAGCGATGTCGGTTATTTCAATAATCGAGTACTCGAGCGAATTTTCGCTCGAGTTATCCCATCACTAACTATGATACATTATATGAATTTAAAAAAGGTGCAGTGGTCAAAATATAATCTTTTATTATACGTTCATTGTGTCCTACTACATTCGTATTTGTATAATTCTACCAGTAGGTAATAATAATGTTATACCTTGTATAGTAAATAATAAAAGCTCGTATATTAAAATGTACATATTTAAATAAAATATGAACAAGAATTAAGTATTTATACATATAAGCATTCCTTACAAAGTAATAAATATAATATAAAATGATTGTAATTAATATCTTGTTAATAATACCATGTATCATTTGTAAATCAATTTCTCGATAGGTTCACTTATTAATATGTAAGTAAAAATGTTTTTGAAGTATGTATAGGTTGTGATTAAAGATATACTCAAAATATTTTATAATAATTTACGAAATACTAGTCTAAAATTAAAAATAAATTGTATGTTATATCCTTTTGATATCATAATTTTATATAATTGTGTCATATATTTTTTCTAGATTATATTGTTTTCTTATTTTTAACCTAAATCATTATTAAAGAGCAAAATAACATCATTGGAATTCTAAGCAGCAGTAAATGCGTAATATAGCTTTAATAATAATATACTATAATATATAGCATGCCAAATAAACTTTTAGTCACGTGATTAAGCTTGGCCGGCACAGCGTCGCCCACTTTTACATATTTTCTTTTTATCAAAATATTTTAGAAAAGAAAAATAAATTAATTATAAATATATAAACAGTTATTATTTACATCAATAAAACTCACCTTCTTAACAGCACTTAAAGGACATGAAGGGCCATTGCTACCGCTTTCCTGTTCAAAATATTCTAATAAAGTTGCGATGAGTTTTTTACGGCTATCAAGCTATCTTGTACATTTCGCAATAAAAGAAGTTCCAAAAAGAACAATGTTCGACTGCAAGGTCTGCTAGTAAAAAAAAATTAAGCTTAATTTAAACTATTACAACACAATGCATTTAAACCAAAAAACTAAAGTGTCAAAACGAATGACAATGTCAAGATAGAAAGAAATAAAATAAATGTGGCAACTTGACATTTTTTACATCGTTTTACAGAGTTACCAACTGAATCCCCAGCGGGAAATTTAAATTCCAGTTAATGAGCCCGGCGCCGAATACGTCCATGATTGGCAACAATGAATTTACGTAACTAAAAGTTTAATTGGTATGGAATATAGTAGCACAGATTATACAGATTATAAACTTTGTTTTTTCTTTATTGTTTTTCGTGGTTCCAATTTTACAATCGGGCACTAGTTAGGTTACTAGTTTGCGCACATAGCACGCCCATATACGTATTACTTTTTACAAATATACTCAGGTTCAAACCTATTTAACCCCGTGTGCAATTTCTGTGCCGTAAGAAAAAGACAACATAACCCAGCTCCATATTAAAACTGCATAAGTCTATTTCACCCGGATATGGATTAAACTGCGATTGCGCCAAACTCCGATTGATTGTTGTTTTAGTTCTGTTTGGATTACTTTTTATTTATGCGCGTAAAAGAGTGATTTTGTTTAGTTTATTGTTTCCAACTATTTTTTGATATTTTTCCAACTCCATGATAATGTATTATAAATAATAAAAATATAAATAAAATTGAAGGTTAGGGGAAATGTCAGTCAACCACTTCCCTTTAAAAACATCGACCAATGAAAACTTCTTCAGGTGAGGCATGCTCAGTTAAATGAATATCCGGGTGAAATAGACTTATGCAGAATTCCATATTGTTCTTTCACTGTTTGGGCTTCACTTTTTGGAGATTAGGCTGAATATATTTGTAAAAAGTAATACGTATATGAGCACGCCCACTTATGGCCTCTAAAATTGTACACAGCGCCTGACCGGCACAGTTATTAGAGAGATATCGGAAAACCGAATAGCGTCATGCAGTATTTACGCGTACCTTATCATATCATGGTTACGATATGCGCGAGTCAATTTTTAACGCATCGCCCGCTAATAACGTTACCGCCTGACGTAATTTGCGGAATGGGCATGTGCGGGTATTTGACAACCGGGGCCGACCGGCGAGATCTTTTATTTTAGGTTATGTTTGAATTGTTTTGAATTATTGCTTTAGTTTTATTAGATAATTTGATATTTAAGTAGCTGGGATTAGTTATAATTAAATAAATATGGCCCAAAATATGGATTCCACCTCTTCCAATATTAAAGAACCTATAATGAGGCTTAGGTTTACAGCAGATGACGATTTAGCTTTTGTAAGAGAATTTAGGAAAGAGATTTTTCTTTCTAAGAGAAACCCCTAAACCCACTGGCAGACGTTGAACAATAAAGCACTGGAAATAAGCACTTTAGCCCTTTAGTTTTAAAATACCTAGTAAAAACAAAACAATTTCAAAGTTTTAAATTCAAAGTTCGGTTAAGTTTAAATAGCGGACTCGACGCGAACAGAATTCTTTCCGATCCGATAACTATAAATGAAGAGAGTCAATACCACCTCACGTAAAGGAAATAACACCTGGCCTTATTAACGTCCATGCACGCTATTCGGTTTACCGATATCTCTCTATTACGCTGTTTATTGTTATTTTACGCGAGTTTATTTTTGCGCATAGGAAATTTTACTCGTTTGCTCATCTTCATAAAAAACAATTTTCGTACCACGAATTAGGGGTAAGATTTTTATCTGTATACATATAGTATACCTAATCTGTGATAGTAGAATGTATATGGCATATTATTTTTATTTTTATAACAACATAAGTAATATTAAATTATTTATATTGATTATATAACAACATAAATAATATGACATATATGTACATGCAATGCCACACTGTAAAAAAAAATGAGTGAAATTTCACTCAGATTTCACTCAATACTTTCTCAATTTCTGTCCAC